ATCATCGCGATCCCATGTTTAATCCAATTAGATAGTTTAGATCGCCCGAAATCACACACACTATCGATTTTTATTCCCAATCCCACGCTCTTGATGCCCAGAGAAGGAAACTTTCATGTACGCACAGTGATTATTTGGCACGAAACCCGCATCATTTCATCGCAATCATCATCTCCGGACCAAATCATCTCGCACGTTTGATGATGAAGTTGTTGGAAAAATCTTCGACCACATGGCGATCAAACTGTAACTCTCCGGGGGGATTTTGCTCAATCCAGAGAGACTTTTCCGTACACCCACTGAGCTTTTATTGACGCCAGACAGACGAAAAAAAATCAGCATGGAAAGAATCACGCCAACAATTTGGATGGAACTTGGCGAACAGCACAACTCCTATCCTTTTCAGCAGCATTCGCCAACAATTTGCCGCTCTTGTTTGGAACTTCGCCAGCACTGTGTCTACGCATTTTCCCATTTCCTGGCATTTTTTCGTGCCCGCAGAATAGTTGGGCTGTTAAACAAATTCCACGCATCTCTTTTGTGCCCTAAGTTAAGGCGTTTAACTTCCCTCGATAGGTTCACTCCTCGGAAGCCACATATAATGCCTTCCAATTCAGAACTCTGCATACTTCCCTGAGTTCAGCACACTGTTCTGCATTTCTCGAACAATGAAATTAATCACAGATTGCACCATATTGTCTGCTGTGCAGAGCTTATCTGTGGCGGCTGAAATTGTTGCCTTTCGCAGTGGAATACACAGTGCCTTTTTATTAATTGCTCCTCGCTTCCAGATGACATTCCACACGAGAAACTATTAACCGTCGCCGCTCAACAATCAATGATCACTTAAGAACGACAAATCGATCGTATCCCATATAAAATGCATCATTGGTAAGTAAATAAATGAGTTGCAAGATGTTGGGCGAATGAGAGGCACGAAAAAAAAGCACCACAAAACAGTGGAGGAAGCTTGAGAAGAAGGAGAATCGCGTGGAGAAAGAGAATGAAGAAGACATGGAGAGATCACATCGATTCCTATTCCGAAAGATGTTTTATGATAATAGAGACACCGATAAGAAAGTGCAAGAGGCAAAAGGACAGTGGAAAAGGTGCACCACACAAATTTACATTTATCGTGATGATAATTCCAAATGAGAATCTGCTCGTTTGGAGTTCTAAAAATGGATAGATCACCTTCAAGGCGAAGGAATTGTGCCACAAAGTGGTGTACAATTCAAAAGAAATGTTTTTTTTTTCCTTCAAGCCTGCATTTTACCATATTTTTCTGGATTATGTGACTCATTTAAGACTAAATAACACGATTGTGATAATTTTTTTCACTAATTTCTGGAAGATAATTGACGAAAAATAGTGTTAAAGTACAGCATAACCTAATTTTTTGGCTTAACAGCTGCAATCTTGAGTTAAAAATATTCTTATTCAGAATCCATTAAGAAAAATCACTGCTATTCAAAGAATATGATCAAAAAGAAGGAAGAAAAATCAATAAAAATTGCCAGAAAAGCTTAGTTAAAAAGTTGTGAGTTAGATTTTGGTTAGTTTTTAGTTGATTTTCAGTCGTAAAATCAAAATAATTACCATATTTGGCGAAATATCACTAATTCAATTTTCTTAAATCGTTTAATTGAATGGATGGCTTTGAAAAGTCTTTAGGGATTTTTTCTACCAAATGTGGAAGTGTCAGGAAGTGATACGTACATATTTTAGCCATATTATCTCCTCCTTGGGAGAAATAATTTTCGGCAAGAAGTATGACACAGTTTTGAGTCAATTATCTTCCCCCCTGATTTTTTCTATTTCAGCGGCAAATGCGATAATTTCCGCAGTTTTGTACGAGCATTTCTGAAAGGGTGTAAAGACGGCGATTCGCACGCAATCGAGGCGATCGATTGGCGATCGACGAGGTGGAAAATTGAATTAAAACACCTGAGCATTAGACTGAGGCACAATTTTCTCCAGTTTCGCCAGAGAGTGGAAAACCACGCCTCAAATAGCGGTTCTCTAGCCAATCAAATGATGCTGCTTGAGTCGCGATCACCTGCGATCTCGTAACTCTGGCGATCGCGATGCCACACACACGCTCACATGTGCGCTTTTCGAGTCAATTAATTTTTCCGTGCGGGTGGAAATGATCTGGGGAACGTTCGCCAGGCACTCGCGATCACCTGCTCGATCCTATTTATGGCGATGGTGTGAAAGCTTCGAGAGGCATTCCCTGGCTTTGACGATCACTTGACAAGCACTTTACTGGCTAATTAATAAAACACGACAATTTATTGCGATCACTCGATCGCAATAGACGGCAATGCATTTTTCCACCATCCCATGAATCTCGTGCATAATTGAAAGCACACAATCAGTTGGAATGCTTCTGCGCGCTGAATCTCAAAGATGAAGAAATATCGCGAGTGTCACTTGATCATGTTCATTTTTTCCCCCCATTGGCGATATCGCCATGGCAAATTAAGCACAATGATTGAGTGTTTGTGACACTAAAGACACTATTTGCAAATAAAATATGTATATGAGTGTCACTGTATTTCTTTTTCACGTGAAATCCTCTCGCGGCCCGGGAAAAGTGGTGGGAAAAATGACAGCAAAAATGTGGACATTTTGCACAAGATCGGCGCGCAATGCTGTTGCGCGCGCGGTGGAAAAAAATGATCGCAAATAACCACACCCTCAACATGCAATATTTATCGCGATATTATTGCTGGACGCCGCAGATTCGTGGGGGGAATACTTTAAGGCATTTTACCAAAGGCCGAAATGACAAGATTCATCTGCATTTAACAGCCACTTGGCATTCTTACGGTCAATTTGCATTAAATAATAAATATATATTTTGTGGCGGCCTGAATTTCTCCCCTTGCGCACATTCTGGCGCCGCAATTTCTTCTCCACCACGCGAAATATCAATCCATGATCTTTAGCCAATGCACATTATATTGCTTTATTTTAGAGCTCTCTCGATCACTCCACATATGTGAAATTGACATCGGCGCAGCGTTAAAGTGTCATCGGGTGTGAAAAAACAATAAGTTGTGCGCAGCATTGAGAGTTGAAAATTGATGGTCTTATCGAATGGTGAGATAATTATTTTTGATTTGCTCCACACACGCCTTTTCTCACCCGCGAAGAAGCTCAAGACAACAGCAATATATTCTGTAACCACGATCAATTGATCGTGTCTCCGTTGTCTTCGGGACTACCATGAGAAGCTACTGTTTAAACGGCACAACTTGTCTTACCATCCATCGCGATTTCCACCGTATACAGATATTTATTTTCCTCAATGGCAGAGACACGGGTTATATTTTCCCCTCGATATTTCGTGACACTTGCCTCAGCGATCTCCATGTCTCCTCCATCCCCAATATCTCCCGACATTCTGTGTAATATGATAATTTGCTACTCAAATATTATTTAATAAGAATGGGTGAGCAAATCGGAGGACATGCTGGAACAAGGAACAAGATACAGATTCTCCATTGGAGATAATCACGATCTTCTGGCCAAACAGTTCTATATATTTTCGGTCGTGTGGTGGAAATGCTGGGCTGAAGCTGGGAAGGAATTAATTGAATTTCCCATCCCAGAAGCATCGACAAAAGCGGCCCCATGGCAATGAAATTTATGAATCTATAACTCGGAATACAAGTCTCTTTCATCTACCAATTTGAGGATGCCACTGGAGAAATTCAGAAGCCGCGCCGCCGCGGCTCAGGTGGGAAAAAAACTAGGGAATTGTCGCGCACCGAAGCTGTCCCGGGAGAGAATCTCACATGATCTACATAATGTGACCAATAAATTACTGATTAAACCACCATAAAAGCGACTTTAGCCCCAAAGAACACGTTTCTAATTATTTTTATGATTTTTCTCATCACACCCATTCTTCCTAGTTGCTCTCTAAACGTCCATTCGACAGACCGTTGATGTGAGATTAACGAAATGTGCCACTCTTTCCAGCACAACAATATTCAAATTTTTCCCTCCCGACTATAAGACATTGTATTCCAAACGATCCTATGCAACTTCTTAATTCTTATCTTCTCAAATAGGACGCGAAACATTGAAAATCTACTTCAGTTTCAATGCAGTAAGTTTAGATAATGTAAAACTTAAAACTTCGGACTGTGTTTTTAAGATTATTCAATTTGAAAAATTAACTTTCGAACTTCTCATGAAGAAAATCCGTGAGAAAAGAAGACATCTTGAACTACACGGATCATTTTCAAGGTTAAAATTAATAAAACATAAGATTAACGTTCTTAAATTATAAAATAATATTCTTAAAGTTGAATAACAGGCGGTTATTTCATCTCATATTATATGAAATTACTGAATTTTAGCAGTTTTTTCAGATTTCGTTCCAAATTTGAGCTGTTCATGATCTACAATCAACTCTTTATCTTCACAAATGTCTTGCCGATCTTCGCCTGTGGCCGATAAACTCCGCACTTTGCAACGAGATCACCTGAATAAACTCCAAAGTCCCTCTTGGCCAACTCTTTGGCACGCAATTTGAGAATTAAAGGGGCAATTAAAGTCGGGTGGGCTGCTGAAGTCGTGGTTGAAAAACAAGAGATCGCGCTTTTTGCCTCCACCCGCCCAAATTGGACCTAAAAGCGGCAGATGCCTCGGCTTTTTGTCCTACTCTCGTGCGCTGGTGTTGGTTGATTTATGAATTTTCCTATGAGGAATCTCATGACATCGCGATCAGCGTAGAACATCCAAAACCCACCTGAATTGTGAGTGTCTTTCGAATTGGGAGTGAGAAATTTAGGGGCCCATTGCTGTCGATTCTAATTTGCATTTGGATACTTCCAGCAGCTGATTTATATTCCCAACTAATGATGATAAATTCTGTCCATTGACTTCAAATACATCCTCATTACAATCCACTGTGGATTTATTGCTGTGGACCTCTTAATTTGCCTATGAAACCTATGATATAGAGTGTGGTATATATTCACCTTCTCAGCTCGGCTCTCGGGTGATCTTCAGGTGATGCTCTGTATTTTTGATGCTGTCTTTTTGGGGTGATTTAGCAGGAAAATTCACAGCAAAGTGTGCAAAGCGCAGCCCTGTGAATTCTTCAGATGCGCCGTCATTGAATTGAATTAATAGTGCGCGCTTTTATTTGTTCAGATGCCACAATGAGAGGTGAGAAGATTGTCGCACACGAAGGTGTTGGAAGGCATAAAAAAGTGTCACGAGATGTTCTTTCTGTGGGCACGTGTTTCAGTCTCTTCACAATTCGCGATCATTTGAAATTGACTGGAGAATCTGCGGCGTATTTGCCAGACAAACACCGCACAAATGACTGAATCTCGATGACGAGGGCAACAGTCAACTCACAATTCCCGATATTCGCAATATCGCTGGCCTTTTTTTCCTTCTACTGGTCTTTAAGAACCTCCTCGCAGATTCACAGAGATACAAATATACAATACAAATAGCGCGCGCTGTGACTCAGAGTCAAGGCAAAACACACAACACAATCGCAATCTGGCCAGGGAAGTGCAGGTAAGTATTCACTTTGCGAAGAACTTTAGCTTGTCCAGTGGATGGAACAATAAAAATTTCAATCAACTCGCGCAACTGTGATTAAACTGAACTGCGGCAATCTCAAGTGGGCCTCAGCTTGACGCAGATCAATCGATCTGTGGCTCAAGTCGCGAGCAAACGTGAAAGGTTGAGCAAACGACGATGTTAAGCGGCGAAGAGTCAATTCACGACTGAAGACCCCGCATCAAGGTGAGCCTCAGACAGTCGGCACAAACACACAGAGTCTCCAAATGATTATTGGCAGCCTCAGCTGGTGCGCTTTTCAGGAGATCTCGCTCTCATTCTTGCCTCATGCCGATCAACTCGCGATGCTTTTTCATCATCCTACGGCTTTTTTTGCGCTGTGCGCGGCAATTGCCAAAACAAACACTCAGTGAAGGATATTTTAATCAGAGCACAATCAAGCGTGTTTACATCTTAAGGAGATCTCTTCACCTAAAAAACTCGCATCATCGACACAAATTCAAGGGTGAATTCTGGACATGAGTTTCCTCAACACTCAAAAATTGGCTCGTCAATCCCAGTGATTGATTTTCATTTTAATTTGCACTCATGTGAGTAAATAAATACACCACCAAAATTCATGACACGGACTTTAAATGTAAGTGAAGAGGCGAATAAGAGCTTTTATGTAGCCATATCAAGTCCCAAATGCTAAAAGGCCTGCGTTTTCCCCTTTGGCTCGCTTCCAGTATCTTTAGGCCCTAAATAAAAGACATAGAATTTCAGTGGATTTCAGATAATTTCCCACTTCATCGCCGGACTAAATGGGATCGCGAGGAAATGATGTCTCAGCGACAGATTTATCTTCTCTTCAGCACGCAATAACAATAAAAAGCCAAGACCGTTGAATCATATCGAATATAGCTTTAAGGTGAGTAAATTAAAGTGGGCAGATAAGCAAATTCCAGCGACAGACCATCGCGAAGAATTTCCACCCGAAAACGCGAGATGCTCCGGCAGACAAGATCACGGAGATCACTCAATTTTATTGCAAATTAATTGAATGATTTCAATCTTCCACCACTTCAAGATGTCCAATATTGCTCCTTGGCCGTCAAGTTTTTGTGTGGACAAAAAAAAGCACCGAGGAGGAATCAAAATGAGGTGAGTTTCGGAGTGAAAAAGAAGCATTTCTCCACGATTGGGTGTTAAGAATAGAAAACCTTTTAGCTTCTCGAACCCATCATTAAGACACTTTAATGAAGGCTGAATTAAACAGCTCGCGCAAGTGGTAAAAGTGTATTCAATGAATCGTTGCTTTGATATGGAAAATTAAGTGTTTTTGTGTGTTTTTACCATAATTTAATTGCACCGACACTCTGCCTGCCCGGCTTCAGACCATTTTCGACGAGTTCGCGCGCCTTTTCTATTCACCACAATTCTATATAGCACGTCCTCATTATCACAATTATCTGCGTTAAAATTACATATGAATTTCCATACGAATTGCAATTATAACAGCATTAGTACCTCGTCATTATCTGCAACGGGCTTTTTCATCTTCCATCATCTTGGCAATTTTTACTGACTCGCATTTTCACTCACAACATATATTCTTATACCGAAAAATCTCGCCCATGATGGAGTGATACCGTTTCACATCGACACTCAATATATTGGTTAAAAACATACAATTATCTATCGATCAAAATCAATTTATTTGTCTTACATTTTATTGGTTTCTTTCACTTAAAATCAACAGCTTTTGTTGAAATCGCCTTTTTTTCTTGCTGCGGATGAAAATCACACACACAGGCCGGGATTTTTGGAGGTCTAATAAGAACAGGTTGGAAATCTCATCATTAAATCTCTCGATTACTTCCTCTTTTTCGATAGCACACAACTGGTAAACACAATTAACACCTCGAGATGCGCGCGCCAGGCAATTTGTATTCGATAATTGCTCTCATTTTGCATTCATGCCTTTTATACCCAGAGAAGATACTTATGAAGGGGTGATTACTGAGCATTGTTGGCCATTCAATGGACTAATGAAGCATCACAAATTACCAATGGCACCGCGACTGTGGAGAATTCGTCTCAAGGCATCTGTTCAAACTCCAAATCACACTCCTTCGGGCAACACAAGTCTAGACTCGAAAACTAACTCAATGAGTCAGACCAATTAATTCCAGCATGGAATTTAGTACTTCGGGAAAGATTTGGAAGAAGGCATTTGCAGGCATAACTTAAAAAGGATAAGACAGCAGTGCAGAAGATCAAGAACTCAAAAAACCCGAAACAAGTTTAAAAACGAAAGATTGTTGTCATAAAGAACCCTTAACTCAGATGATAGAGTGATTGACTAGCAATTTAAGGATTCCCAATTCGAATTCGGAGGGAAAACAACGCCTGGATTGCTCCAGGAATCTTCAAAGTTAAATTTCTCATTCCAAAGGCCGGAAAAATGCCGGAAATGTTCAGTAAGATTTCTCCAGGAATCCATAAGACAAATTTTTTCTAAAGGAATTCAGCAGGAATCCCTCGTGATTTCTTTTGAGATCTGTTCTTAGTCTTTGAAAGTAAGTTTTTCCAAAGAAACACAGAAAAATACAGTCTCAAAAACGATTTCTAACATTCAAGAGAAACCTACAAACTCAAAAGTTGATGAAAAGGATCAAAAAGACACTTTGAAAGGCAATTGAATGAGATGTTACAATTGCAATTCGTCGGCCTATTCTTCTGCTGTTCACCAAATGTGCTCCACAGTAATTGGTCAGTTTACTGGCAAAAGCTTTGCGAAAGTGTGAGGAAAGCATGCGTTCCCAATTTATATTGGGCTGCATTGTGAGATCCGAAGAAGCTGCGCTCGCGAGAGGAATTTCTCCGCGTCTTTTGTCAAGCCATCGCGTCTCTTTATCTGGGTGTTTGTCTGTCAATTGTTGCGGCTGCTGTCGCGTCTGAGGGAGGATGCCAAAGAAGTGGTTGGCGAGTGGAGAGGCTCAACAATTTTCATATTGTCACGTCTCCACCAGCGTCAAGACAACCGATTTGACACGGAGTCGACAATAATGATTTTGTTGCGCGCACAATAAGATAAATGTGCGTTTTGCATATGACCCACTTTGGACACCATCCCATATGAAGAGTCAATTTGTGGCCTCTTCTTCGCTGAGTCAGATCGCCTGAGAAAACTGTGGGAGAAGCCAGAATCTCAAGCGCTCATTAAAGTGCACCTCTTGTGTGACTCAATGTGCGTGAAATACTCCAATAATTTCACTCTGACGCAGACCAATTTATTTGTCACATTTCCCGTTGAGCCAATTCACGAGAAAAATTGCTGCACGGCGCAAAGTTTCGCTCTTCACCATTTTGCACTGCGCGATTTCTGTGACTCGAGAAATTTCAGGATATCTTTCCGATAAAATCCCACCATTGACTTATTGAACTAGAACTTTATTACTCTCTTGGGCCGGAAAGTGTGCATATGAAAATTTTAAGTTCCTCCTATTGATTAGTGCCATAAATATCTCTGAAAGCATCCCCAGTAAGTGCAGCAAAAACCTCCGGTAATTCACCAGCCAAATGGGCTATTTAAGTCATCCCAGACTTTAATTATTCCCAGAATCAATCTTCCTCTCCGGAGAGATCGAGTTTCGTTAGAGAAAACTATCCAGTTTTCTCCTCTCTCAGCATTTTTCTCACACTGGAACTCTACCTCTTTCACTTTGGAGTTCTTCAGCCCCATAAATTACGGTGCTGATATTAAATGAATAAGGCATGTGAAATAAATCTGACGGCGATATCAGACATTTTCCTCCGGTCAATTCCTCATTGGCTAAATGGCCAAATGTATAATTAAATACGCGGTGTGTTGATGAAAAAAAAATTTAGTCACGCTCCACTGAAATTTGGCTCAACACGCACCAAAGTTGCGCCGCGTTATCAATTTGCCACCCGAGAGCCATCAAAAAGCCCCCAAAGGTCGTTTCGGTGCGGAAAATGAAGCCAAAGATTGCGCGCCAAAGTACAGCTGCTCTTTTTTTGCCCACTGTTGCAGCGGCCCAGGAAAAGAAAAAGCATGCAAGCTTATGAGTTAAAATGATTAACAAATTTCGCTATGGACTTTTGAAATGCCCGAAAAAGAGTTGCTGAAATGAAAATCTCTTCTCTCTCAATTTTCAGGCGGATTCCGAAGGAAATTGATCAGCAGCAGCTCATCATGAATGATGACCAATTACATTTGATACGCATCTTTTTCCCGGGCAGAAGGCCAAAAATCCATCCAGCGAAAATTAGGCGTCCATTGAGGCTCTCTTTGCCATGACGATAATCTAACAATGGCCCGTATTTCGAGAATATCTCTTGCGCACATAACTTTTTAGCCGCGATGATTAAATGCTCGCCCTTCCCCTCGGGCGAACATGGAAATAATTGAACAAATACAGTGGCGAGGAAGTCAATAAAAATAGATCATCGATTCGATACAAGGCTGATTTATGTCGTTGGCAGTCGTGGCAATTTTCATCCCCTCAAGTATTATTGTTGTTTGCAAACATTGCAACAAGACCCAAAAGTATAGTTGAACAATGCCGGGCGAGTCAATAAATATCATTTAAATTTTCGATCTGTCGCCTGCGACCCTCTTATTGGTCCACGTCTGTCGATCCCTCGAATTAACTGACAATCTATGGAGGCAGAGGGTTCATTTAGGCGCACATTTGCGCCATATATTTCATCACAGAGCTTTAAGGGTGTGGTTTTACCGGTCTTCCATTGCTTCTGAATCTCCACAGAATAGATTCAAACAGATTTTTTTTTGTGATTGTGGGAGAAAGAAATCCATCGCAGTGACTAAAAAGTAAGTCATTTGCGGCTTTCTTGTGTGATTCACAGATCTCTTAATGACTCAGGAGCAGTTTCGATTGCATAATCTCTGAAGTCCTCAATAACAGGAAATTCCTCACCTTCCAAGTGAACATCTTGAACGTTTTTCGGTTGTATTTTGGAGACTGTTTGTTGAGAAAATTTATTAATTCTGAAAAATCACTCCATTTCCAGCCTTTGCTTCAGCCGTCATGATCACTGTGTCAGTTGAGTCAAAAGTGAAGCTTCTCCATTGAAATAGAAGGCAAAAGGAGTGAAGATATGGTATGAAATGCAGAGAGGACAGTTTCTCGTCGAAGACATGCTCCATTGTGGGAAATTCAATGGCATGTTGCATCACAATTGACAGGAGGAAGAAGAGAAAAGTACACATCGCGTGGAATTCACCCTCGAAGGCATTCGAGAAGGGCACAAGGAGTGGTTGATAAAAAAGTGCAAAAGTCGCTCTGTTGGCTGAAGATTAATGACACGTCTTTGACATTTTATTGTAGTAAATGTGGCACCGTGAAGACTTTAAATCTGTTTATCATGTTAATGCGGTGCTGCGAAGGTACTCGAATGGCTATATGGCGTGTCAATCAGGGTCCGATGGGGGAAAAGAGCGCATTTTCCAACCCCTCGCCGGGCAACAATTGGCTGTTGACCAACAAACAGATTGCCAGTGAATGGGACCGGGCGAGGCAGGCACAATGGGACGAGTGGCTGAGAAACAGGGGAGGTTTCTGAGGGTAGAGAAGTGTATCAAATACGAATATGTGGGGCAGACAATCCGAACTCCATAAATAACCCTGGGCGATCACCTTTTCTCCTCGCCCAGCTCATCCTTCGAATCAATTGTCACACGAGGAGCCGCGTCGCAATCTACCTGAGCAGGAGACAATGCTCCCTTTGCCCTCAGCCATTCTTTTCCGCGTGTCTGTGTGATGTTAGACAAAATATTTATGATGTTATGAATATGGGGCGACAAAATATTGAGGTCTCTTTGGCACATTTTCCTGCACAATTCTCGGCATTTCGGGCTTCCCGCCGCTCAGCAGACCCACAGACTGAGTCCGTTGAATGATTTTTATAGAGAGGAACAATACAAATAAATCATGACGTGTGATATTTATTTTAGATCCAAATTTATCGCAGAGCTCGAGTCTCACGGCGCATCTCGAGATATTCATCATCGATTGAGAGAGAGAGAGAGACAATCTCCGGACCAATGAAGACGAATGACCCTGAATAAATTAAGATCAGTGTCCCTTCTGAGATTCTTTTCTGGAGTATCTCTCTGTCCACTTCCTCAGCAACACTCCAATTTTCCATCTCTTGGGCATTTCTAAGGCACTCGAAACCCCTTCGATGTGCCTCAAAAGAATAGAAAGAGAGAGAGAGAGAGGCTGAACTGAATTATTGAACTGAAGATGGTTTCACCGATCTTTTTAAAAACTCGAGAACCCTCAAAATCATCACGACGACATGACTTCAGACATCACTAGACAGATTTGAGAAATCGAGTGTTGGTTCGAAGAATGGAAAATATGATATTGATAAGCACAAATTTCTGTATGAAAAGCTGAAGTAACAAAATCTTTAAAGTGTAGTTCCAAAGTTGATCATTGATCTTAAGATTCTTAAGAAAATAATATCAAAGAAAACTTATGCAATTGAATGAATAAAGCTTTGCAATAAAGACATTAAAACGACAGTGAAAAGTGCAGTAAAATTTTGCGAAACACTCTTGAAAATGAAATTGATATATTTTTTATTCTCGTTTTACACCATCAACAGAAGACTTTGTTCAAATCTCAACTTTACCTTTCACAGTCGACCGTCTAGAGGCCGCTTCGTGGCGAAGAGCGTGTCTTCGCTGTAAATTCACCACTCAATTTGCTCCCCTCGCTTTTTCACCACTCCCAGTGAATTGTGGCGGGAAAGCGAGCGCTCTGCTGAGCACGTGTCTTGCGAGAGAAAGCGATAAACTAATTGACATCGCGGGGGAATTCAATTGAAATTCCGGGCATTTATTGATTGGCTCAACTGACAGTGGGTGGATCGGCGATGGTGAACTGTGATAAAGTGACTCTCAATTGTGGTATCCGGTGACAATCTGGGCGTCACCCAGAAATTCCCTGGAGAATTATATGGAAATTTCACATGAAAGATTGACATAAACTGAAGAAGAGTGTTTGCACTCTTTGATGAATAGTTTGCGTCGCAGACATGCCGCGTTCTTGTGTTGACAAACAAACAATTACCTTGTCAATCATGCGAAAGAGTGTCTCTCTGCTGCCACCCATCCGCCCACCGGCCAGATCCACGTGTTGCCGCTGGTGGAAAAGTGAATGAGCGCGGCTTTTCCGCGGCTCTCTCGCGCGCGTCTCTCTCTCTCTCTCTCTCGGTTGTGCGTCGGGCTTGAGTGTCGTGACGGTGAGTTCTGTTGGGAGGCTTGCGCTCAGTTTGACGATGGAGTACGGACACACCGGATGCTCTGGTGGCGCTCAGATCTCATGCCAGAGGCACGCGTGCTTCCTGGGCGTCTGAGACTGTGAATATCGCGGCGTGCAGCAGCAAGAGTGACAGTGAGGTAATGCCAAGTGCATCACGCGGATTTGCGGGGAGTGTGTCAGATAAATTAACTCGTGCCACTTGAGACAGGGCCATAAATCATGGGCAATATTTGCTCCCCAGCATGCAGTGGGTGTCAGATGTTCGCCAACCATTACTGATGGTGGCTAAGTGACGGTCATCTCAGCGCAATTTCGCAACATGGGTGGATGGAATCAGCCGCTAAGGCGTGATTCTTTAAATCGACGACGGAATTATTTTTGTGTTGAAGCGGATGAAAGGCTAAAAATATTTTTCATATATAGAGCACACGAAAGTGGCCCAGAAAGAGAGAGAGAGATCACCAACACTCTTGTGGAAAAGTGTCGAAAATTCACGCGAAATTTTCACACCGTCCACTTCTGAAAATGTTGCCATCTCACGCGCAAAATGCCTCACAAAGTCAACACGAAAGTGCAGAGAGAATTTGTCTATAAGGAAGTCAATGAGTAATCCAAATTCACTTACGCAAGCTGTGAATATCATATGAAATTGGGTGGATTTCCTCCTGAAGTTGTCAGTGCTACTGGAACTTTAGTGGTACTCTTTGATTTCATTGACCTCAATGATATGACAGTTTTCATATGACAAGTAATTAAGTTCAGTATATAGAATGAAGAATTTTTTTTAACTTTCTTAAGTGAAAAATCGACAATCAAAAATGAAGTGAAACATCGAAAATAACAATAACAATTTTATTCTCCTCCTCAACGATTGCGGCTGCCGCCGACTTCACAGCCGATCTTCCCGTGAAAACGGCAGAAAACTCGGTTCATTGGTCGTTAATGTCATATAAATGTTAGTTACAGAAGTACTATTTGCTAACATTCGTTTGTCGCGACATGCATATCGTTAACACGCATGAGCGCTGCCCGGAAAACAGTTGGTTAAGGATTTAGAGTGTGGGAAATGGGGAAAATTAAAAAAAAAATGACAAGAAGGCTTCTCTATCGCAGAGCATGTAGCATTTGATAACAAGAATAATAAGGTGTACGGAAACAGGACAGTGCAGGACAAAGTGGGAGGGACAAACCGGAGCGACGGACACGCGGTCATGCAGCTATGCAGTCAGATGCGGCAGACGCACCCGGGCAGAGGCGGACCCCAGAGCCTTCCGCACATGCGTAGACCTCACTAGAACGGGGCAAGAGAAAAGTTGAAGGCCATGAGAGAAACCCTGGACAATTTCTGTCACGCGCTCCAGATATAATCGAAATTCCGCCTCTGCGGTCCTCAAACCACCCGCTGACCCAAAAGTCATGCAACTACATGCAACGTGCATCAGACACGCCCCCAGGCGGGACCCACGGTTTCCAGGCTCCAGGCGTGACCCTCCCTTGACGATAAGTACTTATTCCACAATAGATCCATGAGTTTACGCAGAAATCTATGCTCGTAGGCGCAGGAGGAGATTGTTGAATAGCAACGGGGCAACATAGGGATAAATGCGTTTTAATAGCTCCAGTCTAGGTGGGGGAATTTTCACGGTTATTGCACTCCTGGAGAGCCTCGTTCTGTTCTGAACACGGTAGCCCCCACTCACGAAAAAGAGACGCAGAGTTTTACAAGGGCAACCCTCTGCGCTATGACGAATAGAGACTATATTGCATCACCTCATTCTGCACGAAACTACCTTCTTATTCGTGGTTCAGAGCTGCGACTTGGCAGTTTGTCGCTCACCAAGCATTTTGATCCGTTTATGTGTAGGGTTCAATCGGCTGAGAAGCAAGGAAGAGACTAAACGTGCTCTTCTCGTGAGTGTAGTGAACGGTGACAGTGCATTGAAGGTAAGATTAGACGAACGAGTGTATGATGACAGAGCCACTGATAATATCTCAGCGCCCATTCTTCACGGAATCTCCTCGCGTTTAGGTAGAAGCCTAGTTTTAGTGCCTAAATAAATTGCAAATTTAATTAGCGAATAATTTTGCAACTGAACTTTGAGTTGCAAATAAAAGCGCTGCCCGAATGAATACAATAGCAGTGACTGAAAGAACCCACATTGAGGTTTCTACGCTCGATGGATCATCTCAGAGATTAAGAGTGTGATTTCCAGAGCGGTAAAGGAAAACATATCTCTCGCATTTTTTGCTGCCATTTCACTTGCGTATTAATCGAGTCTACAATTTATGCTTAAGAGAAAAGGTTTCTCACTTCCCCACCCATGACGAAAATCTCCATGCCGCGTAATGAGAATGGTGGTGTATTGGATTTTTAGGCAATTTCTCCGGTCAGTCGATGAACCGCGCGCTCTCGCACATTTCCAAGAAGGACGCCAAAGTCTGTGGAAAGACATAAACTTTTGCCCCCTCCCACCCCCCTCCCATTCACCAGACAGCCGAAACTCCTTGGAAACTTCTGCCAGAAAGCGATCCATGGCCGGGAAATTTAATTATGCCACAGCAAACGGAGATGATTCTCCGCTTTAAGATGCTCAACACGGCTCCGCAAAAAGTCACACAGCCAGCATCTGTGCAAATAGAAACTGTCTCTTATCTGCTCCTCACACATACTCTAATTGCCACTTGAACTTGCACTACTTTCCATCACGGGGTGGCAATTGAGCTCACTCTTTACCACTGAATTTGTCAAATTGACACCCGCGATTGGCTTATTAGCGATCCATTTGGGGCGTTTAATGACACATCTCGCAATTTAATTGTCTAGAATGAGCAGGAAATTGACTGCAAGTGGTGAATTTCGCAGCGGAAAATGGAAATTCATGTCGTTTGATTTGAGTGAATGGCAATGTGACAAAATAATTACAAACAAACTCCTCACATCGCTCAGTGCAGGAAAACATTTCAGACACAACCCTTAAGGCTCTTAAATTATGCAAAGGGAAATTCGCTCCACAAAAGCTCGTTAGGCGCTCGTCTATTTCTATTATTCACAAGCTGCATATCAAAAATGCCTTTTTGCCTCCACGCCAGTCGCTTAAGGGCATTTTATGTGATTTTTTCACATCACTTTGTGGCAATATTTCACTTTGTACGTTACTTCCGAACTGAAATCAGATTCATTTCGCCCAAGGCGATCGAATGGCTTCTCGTATGATTGATTTTCAGTCCTTTTTTCCGAACTCGTGTATGATTGATCTTGTTTGACGCTTTGAATGCAATCGTTTGGCAATTTCAAAGGATGCCTAGATTGTGTTCGTCAGGCTTCATTTGACAATAAAAAATAGAGGCCATTCAAATATTCTGACATACAATGTGCGATTCTATGATATTCTATAAACCTGAAAAAATACGTCTTCTTTATCCACAATAATTGTATTTATTTTTGGCTGAAGTATTTTCATTCTCTGTCACTCTATTTGCGTCGGTGTGAATTTTTTCGCCGCAGCTTTATAATGTCAATATCATTAGGTTAACATTGCAAGAAAATATTCCACATTCCGCGACATTTGTAGATTCCATAAGATTAATGAAATTCTCTACATTTATGAGTGTTTGTAAGTGAGGTGGAGGTGAAACACATCCAGAAATTCAGCAGAAAACAATTATGAAATAGCAGAATGGACGCTTTATGCTAAATATGCAATTTCTTATCAAATCCTCTTTGAGCTGCAGCGAGGAATAAATCCTTTTGCAAGATATTTCGCAAATTTTCGTCATGCTGAAGGAATCCTTTTCATCTCATCTCCAATATTTCCTCATCATGAACATAATAGCTCAAAATATGAACGAAATGTGCAAAATCACTCCGAGAGCAAAAACTCTCTTATTCTCTGACAGAGAATCGCGATAGAGTTTTATTAATAAATTTTAATAACGCCGCCTTTACAATTCATATCATTTTAGTGACTTTTACACTAATAACGATGGCAGCGTCAACGCAATAAATAATTCTATTTTCGCCACAAACCCAACATTTTTTTTCCGCCTCTCATGCCAGAGAGAGTTAATCTCTGATGGGATTTCATGACTCTTCAGCGTGTTAAATATTGAACTTTTGCCACGACGAATGAAATAAAAATGCCGCAGCATCCAATCGATAGATTTGCAATTTATGAAAAACACCATCGCGAGATGTATGAAGCAGCTGAAGTGTGAAGGTGTTAAATAATCTGGAGTGATTGTCAGTAGAATATATAGTGGGCTAAAATGCGCGCCAAACAATCTCAGCGAGTGTCATCGATGTAAAAAAGGACATTTTGATTGCAAACAAAGAATCACCTGCACTGTGTTGAGATTGGAGTGTTGATAGATATTCCTCGAGTGGGCGGATCTGCGGCCAACAGCGGTGGGAATACGGCGGAGTGTTAATTAAAATTGCAGGAATAGAAGCGCCAATTCAGCGAAAATGTCCGACAGTTACAGGGAGGAGTATGATGACAATTCAGACGTTGTTTCTGGTAAGTATCGCCCCCGAGCGATAACACCCCTTTCTTCCCCATCCCGTCCGCCACCCTCTAGATGATGATTAGAGTCTCGCCCCCCTTTGGAAACGCCTGATTGAAAAGCACTCTCAGCGGAAAACACATCGACTGGAATATTAAATAAGTCTATGGATGCGCAGGGAATTTAATTGAAAGCTCTGGGATTGAGAACAGGAGGGAAACACGTGGGAAAAAACTAAATAGCCTCAAGGGGTTGAAGAATCGTCACAGACAAGGGGAAAGTCACTAGTGAAATCAGACCATTAGCATTGCTAATGTACAATCAGTTTTTGAATATTGCATATCGAATTCCCATTTTTACATATCCAAATGAAATATTTGAATATTGTATGAATATTTTCTGAATATGCAATCAGAATTAAAATATATTGATTATTTTTGCCACATATTGCCGCCAGAGGGAAGTAGTGTATGATAATACATAATTTTTACATATAATTAAATATGTATATACAATTAAAATTCCTCAAAAATCGGCAAGTGATTCTCCCCTTGGTCACAAGTCCGTTCAAACCAGTCCAAAGGAGTATTCCTTGCCTGACGCAATTTGCATTGAGTATTGTACTGACAGTCAATCCATTTCGAAGGCGTATTTATTAACGTATACAATGATAAAAAAAATGACCAGAATATTATCTGATAAGGATCATCATTGGCTCAATTCTGATCGATGTGATTCTAATAAAGCAAATTGATTGCTTAAATACTTAACGGAAAAAGAACAAACTCACTCGCCAAGGGAAGGAAGAAGCTAAAAGAGATCTTTGTCAGATGTTCCCTGATGATCAAAATGTACTTAAGTGAAACGCAACATCGAAGTAATTGTACAGAAATAGAATCAAATATTTGGGGGCACAATATGAGGATGTTTGGCTTGAATAGCACACACATGGTGTACTTTCTGTCGAGACCTCCATTCACCTCATTGCCAGACGACAGAAGGTAAAAATTGATCCAGAAAGATGTAACAAATTGAAGTGGAGAAAAGAGAGCGCGCCTCTGCGCGCAATTGAATAATTTGGTAAATTGCACGATTGCCAGCAACCTGAGTCATCGTAAAAATTTATTAAATTGGAATTTCCTTTCAATTTCTCGCTCCCATTTTTCCTCCTCGATTGGGCAAACAATGCAAATGATGAATGTTCTTCTGTTCAGCATCACCGTCAGATAAACTCGATCAGAAATAATTTTGCTGAAAATGTTTGACGTGATCAATTATCTCACTCATCGCGTGTATTTATTCAATCTTTCTGCAAGAGTAACATCTGAGAGACATCGTGTCGACACGCGGCGAAGGGAGGGCCCAACATGTGGAGGATTTTCCAAGTGACTGTTGTCACGATGACAGAGATTTGCTTCTTTTTTTTTGGGGAGTCATGCGAAGACAGAGAGAAAGAGAGAAAAAAAGGCCAGAAATTTGGCATTTTCCTCCAACTACACACGCTGTGAATTTTTCCGCCTTCGACTGTCTCTTGAGCCGCGCTTCTGCCGAATAAAATCCCCCCACAGATACACACAATTCAGTGTTAGTTTGTTTAATTTATATCTACCAAATAAATATTTACACAAGAGTCCAACACTCACAATTCAAACTCGGGAGAGAAGTTTCATCAATCCACTTGCTGTGTGAATTTGCTGACAATCCACTTGTGTAAAATGTATTGTGTTTGAGGTGTTTGGCACTCAAAGAACGCCACAACATTCCTTCGCCATCGCTTTTCCTCCACATCGCACTTTCCCCGGGAAAAGTCCAACACGCGCCACTCACTCGTGCTGGACAAGATATTAAAAGTTGTCACAATCACTCATCATGCCCAGATGGCCGAGGGCGTGCGTGGCGGAAGGTTTCAATTGCGGGGTGGAAATTAGTGACTAAAGGTTCATTCCGCCCCCCCAGAATGACATAATCAAATAATGGGCCACCGGAAGAGGACTCTTTCACCTCAGGAGGAAAACTGTATTTGTGGTCTCATTAGAAGTGTGTGCCAAGGAAAGAGAGAGAGAGAGAGAGAAAGAGCAAACATGCGTGGGGAAACCCTTTCTGGCATTCCTTACAAACCACAGAAAAACTCATCCCTTTTCGGCGTTGTTAGTCATTAGAACGGATGGGAAAACTTTGTAGCTTTTAGTTTTTCACTCCCATTCACTTTCATTACTCACCCCCTTTGCCGGGGTGGTTCTGAAAGTATTCACGATGGTGCAGAGATTCGCCAATATAGCTCTTCATTGAGAAAACATCGACACAGGACAAAAGCGCTGACAAGTCACCTGTTGAAGAGGGATGGATATAAATAATCCCGCGCGTGAAGTGTTTATATTCTCAATGAAAATGACAATTTTCCGGCCTGATTGCCATCAGCATTTTCACCCTGGACGCAGGCTATCCATAAATCGATTGAGATGTGGAGGGTTGGTTAATTATATGGTGAGTCATATGCCATTTCAGCCCGTCCGATCTTGTGGCTTCAATTTGTGGCCAAATTTGCCTTTTAACCACCCCTTTTCGCCACTCGCATCTCCTTTTATCACCATATCGCCATCAATTTCCACCGGATGGATTTCCTGGCACAGGAATTTCCTCTGCAGAGCAGGAAACGGAGCAAAACCACACATGAACCGAGGGGAATGTAACTCAAAGGCAAGTCCTCAAATAGTATACTCAAATAGTTATATGTGAAGTAATGTGTAAACCGTGCATATCGAAAGTTCACTTAGCATTTCCTCAAGGCATGCATAGAAATTCGTAGTTTGCATTCCCCGCAGACTCTCGACAATGCTCTGTATTTAATTGGGCAGAACAAACCTAATTATTCTGATCGGATAATTCAATAAAACAGTGCAACGCAAATCTCTCTCGTATTGAAACTATTTCATATGGAGTGTTGTTCTTCAATTCGCGCATATAGTTTGAGTCTCGTTAGCAGATTCTGTACTTCAACTCTCGCAAAGACTAACTAGACTCTCAATACGAGTGGGAAATATTAAATTCCGCACTCAATTCGTGGCTCATTGACTCGTCTATGAGTTTTATACGTTTTAATTAGTGGGAGCTAATGAAGTTTCCTAATAAAACTCCTCCCAATTTCTGTGACTCTCGGTGAAATTATACTTGTGAAGTAACTGAAAGTTTAGCAACATAAAACATGATTTTTGACTTTCGCACGGTTTTCGCCTTCACCATCAGAAGTGCGCGTGTTTTCTCAGTCTTGTCCATTTGCTGGAGAAGTGCATGGACCCTCTTGGGTGAGAGTGGGCGGGAGCGACTCTTGGGAAAACACCCTGCTGTCATAATAAAATCCACAACAGGGATGAATTATTTATGATTACGTCTGGATCGAAGGTGGGGCGATATTAGGGATATTTACCCTCGTGGGTGTTATTTTCACAACTTCTCATCCCGCAAGGGTCCTCAGCAGAGCATCGTTTTAATTTTCAACTGACTGTTGACACGTTGAAATTGAATAAACCCATGCCTGGGGCGCTTTTCTGTGCGGTTAGAGGAAAAGCGCCTGAAAATTCTTCCACTTTTAATCACTGCATGGAAACCAAACTACAAGACACGCAACTCCATGCAAATCGTCCAATCTTCTTTGGCTTGTGCACTGGAGTGGTAATTAGTGAAGCTATGCACAAAAAATGCACTGTGTATTTTTCATCTCCCAACAAAAGCGGCGGAAGCATGTTGACTTAAGCTTTAATTGAGAAGGACGGTTGGAAAAGCGAGAAATAACACATAAAAAGAACATACAGTCTCTCATTTGCTCTTTTCAAACAGCAGAACCGCACAGAAGGTTTCTTATTTCCGCCATACATTTTCCAGATGCGCGTGGGGCGTTTCGGGAAAATGTTAAGGTTTCCCGTTGTGTTGTTTGAAGGTGTCTGTGGATGATGATTTGATGATGGAAATATGAGTGATTCCTGAGCCTAGCTTGCCATCTCGCCCACAGCGGAAGTCCTCACGCTCTTCGCCTCCTTGTCACAGAGCCAAACGTGATGAGAAAGATGAGATCGAGAGGCATCCCATCTCGACCCCCTTCATGAATTATTTAACATAATGAAAAACTTGTTGAACTTTGGCTACATCTCTTTCATCCTGGTACACCTTCTGAGATCTCGTGCAGAAATTCTGCCAGACGAGACGATGTTTTTGGGTCGAAAGTCCATGCTTTGAGGGACTTTTGGCATAAGTTTATTGAATACACGATGAATACACTTGGGAAAGAGTGAGCATCGCGTTGACTTGATGAATTCACCCATACTTTACCTCAACGGTCTCTCTAAATATACCCAAGAAAATCTTTAAACATTGGCACGAAGATGCTGAATCAGCAGGAATGATTGATAGAAGACATTCTCATCATTAAATATTTCATTGATTGACTAAATGGTGTAAACAAGGATATGAAGCGCTGTTTTGACTTTCATTTTGAAATTAATTGCATCATTTATAGTTCAAGATCATGACAAACTTCGCCACTGCCTGAGCAAGTCATAAAGTCAGATTTATGGGACATTTTTGAGTCGATGTCAGATTGTGTATATATTAAAGTTGGTGGATGATTTTGGGTCAAATTTATTACTGGCTGAATTATGAACTCAACGACTTTGCGAAGCATTTCATTATGATTTTGAATATTGATCGCCTGACCCGGAAAAAGGGCTGTAAAAACACCCTTTTCTGATGCAATAATAAATAGCATATTTTTGTTTACACTCAAATTACAGTCAACAAATCGAAATTGCGGCATTTCCTATGCATAGTTTTGCAATTCAAAATGCTTCAGTCATTGTTTGTGGCATTACAAGTTCTGTGAAATGTAATTTTCCAACCATATTTTGCATCTCCCGCAAAACTTCCATCATAATTTCTCTCTTGTCTGAGGGAAATGTAAGTGAAACTCATCACAGGTGAAAGATAAATGCAAATAGCCACAAGTTTCCAGAGAGTTACAATG